TTCATATTGCTCAATTAATATTAATACTATTTATTACCCCTGGACATATAAATAAAAGAAAGAAAAACAAAGGGTTTTGGTAGTACTAAAGCTTATTGGGTTACAAAGATAAATAATAGACAACCCCTCCTCATTCTCACCATAAACCAAAAAACAATAATAGGTTTAATTGATTCAGGAACAGATATTACTATAATTATTTCCAAAGATTGGAGTCCCTCCTGAAAAACTTGTTCTTCTTTCATGACTGTATCTGGATTGGGAGGAACACAAACCCCATGCCTCCATTTTTCTGATTTTTGGGGGAACAAAAAATAGAAATATTCTGTAAACTATATGAGGGTTCAATATGTCCTGCTTGTAATTGTTCTTATATTAGAAGATGAACTTGTTATAATTTTTTCCCTTTAAGAGGCCATTGCTCCACCAAAACAGGGGGTCCAATAATCCATTACAATTTAAGTAACGAGAGTTTGACAATGGCCTTAATAATAAATTTAAAGGAAAAGTGCCTATATAAACATCCCATTGTATAAACAAATCTCTCCCCCATAAAACAATAGAGAAATCCAATATAAAAGACACAATAATGAAAGTTTGTCCTTTAGGTCCTATACATTTAAAAAATATTTACTTTGGCATGGGTTCTAATCTTCCTGGCCCTATGTCATTTGACAATGACATAACAGATACATTGGCTATATATTATTTTACTCTCACTCCTAAAATTAATTCTCACCAATTTTTTCATCAAGGAGCTTGAGCTTTGACTAAACAATATTCTCTGCTTTTAATCAAAATAAAACAAAAAAAATTATTAAGACTTGTGCTGATTGTCAATCATTTTCTGTGCCATTTTCAACTAGTGTTAATCCTCATAATTTACAATCCAACACGTTATGACAAATGGATGTTATTCATCATCCTCCTTTTGGCAAATTAAAATACATTCATGTTGTTATTGACACTTTTTCAGGAGTTCTACATGCCGCTTGTCAAACAGGAAAAACTTTAAAACATGTTCATCACCACCTACTGGCTTCATTTGCCTCTTTAAAAATCCCTACTAAAATCAAAACTGATAATGACTCTGCTTATACTTCTAATTCTTTTAAACAATCTTGTCAAGGTTAAAATATTAAACATATTACAGGAATTCCCTATAACCCTCAAAGAAAAGCTATTATAAAACCAGCACATTTGCTCCTTAAATCACAACTTTTAAAACAAAAAAGGGGGAATATGCATGATCATTTACCCCCACAAGAACAATTGTGGAAAGCTTTATTAACTCTTAATTTTTTAAACATTTCTAGTACTGGTTCTACAGCTACTGAAAAACATTTTTCTCCATCAGATCACAGACCTAAACCGTTAGTTTTTTATGGAGATCCTTTGTTGTTTTTTTTGTTTTTTTTTTTTAAAGATGACCGGTAAGGGGATCTTAACCCTTGACTTGGTGTTGTCAGCACCAAGCTCACCCAGTGAGCGAACCGGCCATCCCTATATGGGATCCGAACCCGTGGCCTTGGTGTTATCAGCACCACACTCTCCCGAGTGAGCCACAGGTCAGCCCCGTATGGAGATCCTTTGAGTGGCCCCCTATGGAAGGGTCCTGTAGAACTCTTAACATGGGGAAGGGGATATGCTTCTGTTTTATTGCCTACAGTTCCTATTTGGATTCCCGCCTGATTAGTAAAACCATACCATGAGCTGGAGAAGAGCCTGTGCTCATCAGAATCCACTGCCAGGCCTCCAACACCTGTCTCTTGATTCAAATGAAAACACTCCATACATGCATTTCCCAACTCAAAGAAGAGATC